GGGACTAGGCCGACAAGAAAATGAATGAATGATGCTTTACAGATTATCATTATACATTGATGCATGTGTTTGTATATATATGTATTTTCCATTTTTTTCTTCTCTCTCTCCTTTCCCATATATGCAAGTGGGTGTTTGTGTTTCTATGCCAAAGTTATGATGATAGTAGACTTTGCTTGTTAAATTATTTGAGTGCCATTTGAGATATTTAAATGTGTCATGTGACCGTAGTACTCAAAAGAGACTCTAGACGCACCTGATCACTGTTACCCTGATGAAGGCAGACTTCTGCCGAAACGCGTAGGTTTTTAGAAATTTGGTCTTGTGGTCATTTATGTGGAAAAGAAGAGTCCACACATACTGATTTTTTAAAACATTCGAAAACATTGTAAACACGCTATAAGCAAAAAATTCTTTCATTCCTGAGATTTGGCTAGAGAGCCACAGATGTCACATTTAATATTTAATCACCTACAACTGAAGGGCCTGGAGGAACTAATTGGCTATTAAGTCATTTTTGGCCCTTGAACAGTACAGTAAACAACATCCTTTGCATCACTGTACAGCTGCAGTTGGCCTTCATCACTGTTGGAATCAGCTGTACTTTACTGAGCCGAGAGGCCTTGAGCACATTCACTTGTTTTAATCATTAAAAATCAGATTTTATGTTGATGGCCCTTTTAGACATTGCTTTGACAATAAGGAAAGCATAGCAGTCAACTAGCAGCCATTAGAATGTTAATAGACTAATATCTGCTAAGATTTTGATGGTTCAGACATTCTACTAAATGACTATAAGTAACTTTGCAACTAACAGTGTACTACTCTACTAACTTTGAAGTTAAGATGCTTTCGCATCTGGCTTGTTTGTAGTGTTGGTTTCAGAACCTGGCTCATCGCTTGTATAAGAAAAAAAAAACTGGTTTGGGACGGGGTGATAGAGCAGTCTTTTCTCTGAATTTTGAAGCTCAACAATGGACCAACAAATTAGGCTTCATTACAATGGATGATTAGTTATTCCATACAGTCTAGTGAGTGAAAATCTGCAGTGTAGGTTCTGTTAATGCCTCTCAGAATTAATTAATGGTCGTTAATTAATTGAGTTGATTGGAAGAACATACAGAACATTTGTTCAAAGGCATGAGAAACTTCAGTTTGAATGTGCACAACTGACACATGATCTCAAAATTGAACAGGGAGTTTTGAGAATATCAATTCTGATCTGAGAAATGAACCAAAGCGACTGAGAAGAGCTGTAAAAATGGTAGATAAAAACAATAGATAAAAACATTAAGCTCCTAACAGGAATCATCCAAAAAATAATTTTAACTTGGAAAATAATTTAAAAAACCACCTGAAAAGTATCACTTGGAGTATAAATGCTGAAAAAAGGGAAAAAAGATTTAGTATGGACTCACTATATTTTAAGTACAATTCTTGCTATCAACAAACCATTAACAACAATTTTAGCCTAAGAAATTCCTAATTTGCCTCTTATGATTAGATATCATATGTGCAGTGTGTAAGTTTGACACCCAGTGGTTGAACTAGGTATTGTTCTCCTGGATCAAAACAAACGCAAGCGCAGGTTGCCAGATTGATAAAAGGAGTGAGTGATTTAAACTGCGTTCTAAATAAAAGCAACAGCACTCAATAGAAGGAATATTTTCCATTTTTCCAGTTTTTGTCCTAATGAACATCTCGAATTGATATATTAGAAACAGCTTCTATTTCTCACAGGTGAACAACAGAAAACTGACAATGATCACCTCAGGTAAACCTCATGTGCTTTAGTCAGTGTTATATACTAACAAGTAATAAGTTAGTAAAATAAGTTTGAATTCCATTTCACATGACATTTGTTGCCATAAACCGAAAGCAGCAGCAGATAGTTCACCTCAGATCTTGAAAATAAAATAAATCATTTGAAATTGAACTTTAGAACTAAACACATATGAGTGATTCAGCATGTAGATTTAATAATGTTAAAGAGGGTTAATATGCATTAAATAAATTATAAACCTTACCATTTCACGAGTGAGTGCATATTCTGTCCTTCTGAATGGCCGTATTTCAATTTCAGTAGTCTGGTGCAAATTCCTCATCACTGCTATCTCGTCATGAAGCATGTTGTTAAGACACAAGGTTCCAATGTAACCTGCTCATCTAATGTTTACGCTCGTAATATTTATATAATTTGCTAATTATGACCTCATGTGGAACTGAATCTTTTGCTGCGTCCCAATCCGCATACTATTCGTCCTTAATAGTACTTGAAAATAGATTTAGTATGTCCCAAACCATAATATGTTGAATGCCAGAGGTTCCCGGATGGTTTGCTATTTAGTAAAAAATTAAAGGTTAGAAGAGTCCATACTCTAACCGCAGACACTGCCCACAATACATTGTGCATTGGACGCGAATTCGATTAGAACTACAAATGCGTGTGATAGCGTAAATAAATTACAAACATAATGGATGTGTGAGAAAAAACGTCAAGTAGAGAGGCTTCGGTAAAGATGTTTTAATTAATGTTAGTCAATATCAAGCCCACTGGAAAGTATTGAAATCGCATTATCTGTGTTATATTTCATCTGCAACAACAATCCTGAACTTATTTAAAGACGGATGCGTCTGAACGTCTGAATGCATAACTACTCAAAGCCCTGAGGAGATTTCTCTGCATGAAAGACCCGTGAATGGGAGATTAACCTACTGCTGCTTCTCCAATAAGATATGAAATTAAATATGACAGAAATGTGGATGGTGTGTGGATGATCAACAGGGGGCATAACTAAGCAACACAACGATCTGTTAAAGAGGAAGTAGTATGTCCCAAAGCTTGCATACTCAAAAGTACAACCTTTTCCTTCACTAAAAACGTACATACTTTTAGGGCATAGTATAAGTATGCGAATTAGGACGCAGCACGTCTCATTTCGAAGTCTGCTACTGTCCACTGAAGGTCGCATTTCAGTAACGGATGTATTTTCTGAGAGCCTTTCTAAATGAATGAATGAATGAAATACGCGGTTTTCCACCAAGGCAACCCGAGGTGCTAAAATATAACTAGACAAACTGGCATGGCGCTGGTTACAATTACCAAAACAAAGACAGACATTCAGGCACGGTAAACACATTTTTCAAAGCAGAATATTTGACTTCAGCAATTTTTTTCAGATAAACAAGTATGTTCACTTGGCATGTTTCTTTAATAACTGCAAACATATTATAGTATTTATATGGAGTCAAAAACATAAAGCACCTTTAAGGTAGTAGTTAGAGACATATTATAAGACCATGCAGAATATGAACTTTACATGTTCAAATAAACAGCCCATATTTTATTAACAGGCAGGTAACAGGCCACTAGTTAATAAAAAGAACTGGTCCTTAAACTAAAGTGTTCCCTATAATTTGTAGGTCAATCAAACGACACAATCAACAAAACAATATGCATGTTATGATCTCTCATTTATTTCTGTTATAAGGAAAATACAACAGTATTCCATAAAAGCAGAGGTGGAGAATCCATGGGGCTTTGCCCAATAGTAATCATAACAGAGCACTGAATCCTGGGAAACTCCAGGACTGTATTTACACTGTGCAATAACAGAGACCTCAATGGTTAAAGCAGATAAAACAGACACACGCAGTTCCCTTTCCATCATTATATCTATAGAAATTCAAAGAAACTACACCAGCCTCTGCACTCGTTCAGGATATCCATCGAGTACTGTGCAGGGATTCAACCCTCAGTCCGTTTTTCCACCTGGGATGCATATGATGCGCTAGCCGTCTTTTCAAATGTGACATTGCATTTGGTTTTTGTGAGGGGCAACAGAGCACACAGTTACAGGCAGCCAATTTGAAAGGTTCATTCAAGTGTACATGATGAAAACTGTATTTCAGGCCAGCACCAAGAATTTATGCAAAAGCCGACACATCATAGAGCCTTAAGACAGACTGAAGAAAAAGATGAAGATGACTTTGAGCAGAGGAACTGTTCCGAGTTGCTCTGCCAGGCTGAAGTACTGGGAAAAGGCAAAGGGAGGTACGTGTTTGAACTACAGCCAATTGATATGGTCTCATTGAAACACGCGCACACACACTCACATACACACACACACACACACTCACGCAAGCACGCAGAAGTCTCTCCTCCAAACATAGTGCAAGCCCTAAGAAGTCTTGCTTCCGCCATTAAACATAAGATCAGAAGACACGCTGCACTGCAGAAGTTCGCGTATCTTACATCTTACTTCATACATTTCAGAACAAACCTGTCAGTTCTGTGAGAGCAGGGCTGAGTTCAACGAGAAAGCAAGAAAATAGAAAGAGAAAACAAATGTTATAGAAGTGATTAATAGAATTTAACATGAAAGCAATATAAATGTAAAGAAAACATGATAGATAGATAGATAGATAGATAGATAGATAGATAGATAGATAGATAGATAGATAGATAGATAGATAGATAGATAGATAGATAGATAGATAGATAGATAGATAGATAGATAGATAGATAGATAGATAGATAGATAGATAGATAGATAGATAGATAGATAGATAGATAGATAGATAGATAGATAGATAGATAGATAGATAGATAGATAGATAGATAGATAGATAGATAGATAGATAGATAGATAGATAGATAGATAGATAGATAGATAGATAGATAGATAGATAGATAGATAGATAGATAGATAGATAGATAGATAGATAGATAGATAGATAGATAGATAGATAGATAGATAGATAGATAGATAGATAGATAGAAGGATGGGTAGAAAGACGGATAGATAGACAGACAGATAGACAGACAGATAGATAGAGAGATAGATAGATAGATAGATAAATAGATAGATAGATAGATAGATAGATAGATAGATAGATAGATAGATAGATAGATAGATAGATAGATAGATAGATAGATAGATAGATAGATAGATAGATAGATAGATAGATAGATAGATAGATAGATAGATAGATAGATAGATAGATAAAAAAACTTTAATTGCATTTTTAATGTTGATCCATGTATGCAAAAGCCTCACTCAGCCTGGGGATATCAAAAGTATCTAGAAATATATATCTACAACAGTTATGACACATACAGACAACCAAGTAAAAAAAAATTACAAATATTAAAAATGAAAGTACAATGACGGCCTTTTTGCCCTATTCCTATGTCCCCTCTCACACTCTGCCGCCACCCCCCCATTAACACATCATATTAAATAAGGCACAAATTTACACAAACAATTAAAATTTGGCTAGTTATCGTTCAGCTATTTACACAAAACAGTTGTGTGTTAATATCGTTACAATTCTCTATTTTAACATAATATAGGCATAACTCAGGACTAAAGAAAGAAACCGTTTTGACACTTGCACCGTGTCCTATCCAGGTGTGACCAGTTTCATTGTTAAAGTGTTTCATGGACTGATATATCCAGAACCAATTAACAGGTGTTTAATACACAGTTAAGGTATATGATCAGATGTTTAGACCAATCACATTTCACTGTAGGCGGGGCAATATATAATGAAAAAAGAAAGAGGTCAGGGGTGGTTAAAGATGAAAACAACTCATTTACACAGAAGATAAATGCTTTATCACACCTAGTTAGGACATGGCATTCAATGATGTAAGACAAGGGTGTCCAAACTCAGTCCTGGAGGGCCGGAGCACTGCAGATTTTAGCTTCAACTTGTCTCAACACACCTGGAAGGATGCTTCTAGAAAGCCTAGTAAAAGCTTGATTGGCTAACCCAGGTGTGTCTGATTGGGGTTGGAACTAAACTTTGCAGAACACCGGCCCCCCAGGGCCGGGGTTGGGCACCCCTGATGTAAGAGATCAAATTTGAAATCACTTTCACCCATTAACTGACTTGGATTGTAAATACTAGAGCACCTCACACTGATTCTGCAGCGTATGGACAACGAATACATTCCTCTTAGGTTTATACATACATCTCCTTCATAACACTAAGTCCGCATCACCTCACTGGTGGCCGGGTATTCGGATTTACCAGTTTCTCTTGCCACATTTAATCATGTGAATTTGAACTGAGTTTGAGTTTTTCTACCTGCATTACACTAAAGTGGACAGGATGGGTGGATGATTATTGCTTACGGTTTTTACAGCGATCTCTTGAGTTTGTGTGGGCATTTCAACTGCTTTTATAATAAAGTGAAAAAACTTCTTGAGGGACCTAAACCATTTCGGTAATCTAGATACATACACTGGGCATGTATATGTATATACACACACATACATATATATTTTTAATATATATATATATATACACACACACACGCACACACACATGCATATATACAGGATTTCTAATTGGGATCAGCACAGTTCATCAACTCTACGTCAACAGAATAGTTAAGCCAAAGCAAGAAAGATCAGGTTATCAAACAAGGTGTATACACTTGTTTCGATAAAAGTTCAAGTCCAGAATTTAGGATCAGTGACGCCTGTTTAAACAGTCCAAAGTAACACTGTAAAGCCACACGCTTATCAATGCGGCAGCCTAAATCTAGGTGGACTCTTGTAACTCCTCCCTTCCTAATGGCCAATAGCTGAGCAATACCAATATGGTACAAATATTCAAAAAACAGAGAAAAACAGGTCATAGTTCAAATGCAAAGTCGACAACACTGGCAGCCATTCTCCATTGTTTTTTTTCTCCTATAAAGGCAAGTTTTTTCGTCCAGCCAATCACAATCAGTTCTGAGAGGTCGAGTAGCCTTTCACGAAAATAAAAACAGGCTTTTCTTCTCTGATGTTCAGTAGTTGAACTTCCCTGCCTGGTTGACAGGTGAGCTGGCAGGGATGAACAGAGGTTTGGGTGGGACGTCAGGCTTGAGCGAGGCTGTCCGACGAACAATAGCTCCACGGTGGACTTCTGGCTGCTCGCTGTAGCTATGCTGGCGAGTTAAGTATCCGTTCGGGATGAGTGGGTGCCGTACGTCGCAACCCGAATTGCTGCCATTAGAGTTCATTCGGGAGAGCAAGAGTGGCTGATGGGAGCTTCGTTGGTTGAAGCTGTGCTGCCGAGGTACTACACCCCCACTGGGCATCTTGGGGGTGGTTATCAGAGAGTGGCGTTGAGCTGGGTGACGGGACACTCTCTCTAGGGTGGACTGATGATGGGGAGGAATTTCTGGTGGGATGTCCATGCGACGAGTGAGACTGTCCCGAGGAAGTGTAGAGGAACTGTAGTATGGTGCGGACTCTGTTTCTGGGATGTGTGGCTGTACGCGATTGGCGAACGCCATCTGACCGGCGTTGGCTGACATGGACGAGGTGAGGACGCTGGGACTCTTGCCTGTGGCCACGTTGATTTCATGAATATGTTTTAAAAGCTCGTCAAGTGAGGTGACGTCCACAATCTTGTGCGGGTAGCAGTGATACGGTTGGCTTACCACACGCTCCGTGTTGTGGACTTTCCGTTCGTCCATGTGTACGGAGCCACCTAGTACCTGTCCATTAGTCAGCCCATGAGAGAAAGGGAACATCTGATGCTGCATTGCACTTGTTGGCCGTGATGCTCCCATATTGTGGGACTTGGGTTCTTTAGCGTTATTGCAGTTTTGGTTCTTCTCCCACTGGTTCTTAAAGGCCTTCATGCTCTTGATTGGGAGCTCTGGTGTCGAATCTGGTGTGGGAAGGCCGGAGAGCTCAGCAGAGTGGTGATGATGTGGGTGAATGAGCTCTGTCATGGCAGCATGGTGGGCATTCCTGCGATGTGCTTGCTCTTTCCCATTGGCAAAGAATGAGTTGTAGAGTTTGGGTGAGGACACCTCTAGTTTCTCGTCCTTGTTTTGGCTCTCCAGCAAGCCATTGAGCTTGGCCAAGCTGCGCAGGGAGAGAGCATGTGGGATCGGCGCTTCTGGATCTTTCGACAGCCTTTTCGTCTTGTTAACGTTGTGGTTGCAGTAACAGGAAACAAGGAATCCGGAGAGGAAAGCTCCCAGGACGAACGCCACCAGGACACACGCTATGAGCAGGGTGTAGTGAACACTGTGGTTGGACTTATCAACCTCAGGGGGTCGGCGCACTCCTGCAGAGAGGGGAAGAGAGCAAGATGAGTGCACTGTAAAGACACAGCGAGGTGCCAGTTAGGTTAGCTTTTAACAGTGTGAGAGTCTGTAGAGTCCTTAGTAGACTTCTATTCATGTTAGAAACTGCTGACAAACAAAGCAAAGCAAAGCAAAGCGCTGGCTGAGCAGGCCCTTCTGAATCAATCTGCAAATGCTCATTGGTTCAACATCAAATAACGCAAGAGCCTCAAGAACAATTGCTAATGGTCTTGTTGGGAGCTAAGTGGTTCTCTCATTAGCCACAGTCTCAAGAGCAATGGCGCTATGTGCTTGACTCACAGCTGACTGTGCTCTTCTGCACAAAGCTGCATATGGCATTAAGGTGGTGTGAAAACGGTATGAAGATGTTTTCAGTGAATTCAAATTAAAATGAATGCACAGACCACCTTACGGTAATAATGAGCTGAGGGTAGAGGTGATTTCGCAAACATGTGCACGCTCAGATAATTAGTAACTCCCACCGCCATCTGCACAGTCAGCCCTTCCTTGCTTTCCTCTTTTTCTGTATTTCTATCTGCTTTCTCTTTATTTCTAAGAGATGCAGTAAATGGAAAAAATCAGCAGTTACAGGTATTTTTCATTAAGAGGCATTTTACACTGAGCTGTAGGCTGCTTTGGTAAAATGTATCTGCTAAGATACTTTGATGTTTTGAATCATTTTAATATAACATCGATTGCCCCGTGAAATCAGCTGATGAGCATGGATTTACAACAGTGCTGATATATTACCTGTTGGAACGAGAAATTTTGAACTTTTTTAAGAAACATGACAATGACAATTGAAAATATTTTAATGAATAAATAAGATAGTTGAGCTGCATTAGTAGTCTGTTGTCATGTCCAAGAGTTAGGTATGAGTTACTTCCAGGTGTAATATGGGGATATGTGATTTCTACCGTAACATTTTTATAAAAAAAAAAAAAAAAAAAAAAAAACGGGTGCTCCGGTTTTCACCACAATCCAAAGACATGCAGTACAGGTGAATTGGGTAGGCTAAATTGTCCGTAGTGTATAAAAACATGCTGGATAACTTAGCGGTTCATTCCGCTGTGGCAACCCTGGATTAATAAAGGGACTAAGCTGAATGACTGATATATATATAAACTTGTCTGAAAACACATATTTAGTCAAATAATTATAAACAATGCCTACTGCTTGTCAAAAAAATTAAAATTTTATCCAATTTTACTCCAATGGTTGGAAAAGCTCATAATTTTGAACGTGCATACTGTGTATAAGCATGAAGAATTTTGGCTTTTGCCAACAAAAGAGTATGGTATAATAAATTATATGGTTAAGACTTTTTGTTGACCTAAAGTTGCATTGCAACTACATGCCAACTAATTCTCATTAGATTATTAGAAGCTTATTAGATTGCATGCTTAATATCAGCTGATAGTGCACCTTCAACATTTAACTGACTAAAAGAAACTTTGCAAGTACATTAACGGTCAAGTTTGGGGTTAGTAGGATTTTTAAAAATGTTTTAAAATAAGCTACTCCTGCTCACCAAAGCTGCATTTATTTCATGAAAAATACAGTAGAAATTGTGAAATGTTATTGCACTATATAATAACTGTTCAAAAGTAGTTTATCAATTATTTAATCATTAATTCCAGTGATTTTAATAATGAATTTTCAGCTTTGTTACTCCAGTCTTCACAGTCCTATGATCCTTCAGAAATCACACTAATATTAATTATTATTATTTTTTTTATTATTATTAATACTATTAATGTTAATAGTATTAAAAGCAATAATGACTGGAGTAATAATTTCATTTCAAAATACATACACTAAGTAAAAAAAAAATATTTAATAGATAAAAATGTAACAATTTAACAATTTTTTACATTTAATAAATGTCGCCTAGATGAACAGAATAATTTTTTTTTTTTTTTTTACAAAAAAAAAAAAAACATTCAATAAAAAACCTGACCCAAACTTTTGACCGGTAGTGTATAAAAAAAAAACTTGTCTGAAAACGTTTAATCCAATTTTACCCCAATGGTTGGGTATGTCTGTATTTTAACCAAAATTGGGTTGAAAAAGCTTACAATTTTTCAAAGTGCATACTGTGTAAAAGTGTGAAGAATTTTGGCTTCTGCCAAAAAAGGGCAAGGTATAACAAATTATATGGGTAATACTTTATTTTGATGGTGCCCATTGCACATTTTGTTGACTAAAGGTTGCATTGCAACTACATGCTAATTACTTCTCATTTAAGTATAAGTAGACTGTCTGGTTATTATCTGCTGATTAGGGTTGTGCAATTTGCGGAAAATATGGAATTTTTTGACAGACATTGTAATTTGATTTGTGATTTAATTTTGTAGTCAAGCTTCAGCTCAGTATCGTAGCTTCTTACTGCTAAAATGCATTGAGTATTAGTTAAAAAAAACAAACTGAAAAGGTATTAAATTACTCCAACTTTTATTCAAATTTGTAATTCTTCTCTAGAGCAAACAGTAAAATCACATAAAATCACCATACCTTTTTGTAAACAAGGTCAACTCAAATTAGACAGATAATGTAGCTTATTATACAAAATAAAAAATTATAATTATAAAAATACAAAACATAAAAATTCTAAAAACACTCAGCAAACTAACATGGCTGATAAGAGGCAGATTGAAAGTTCTGATTGGGCAGAATGAAAGTATGCTCATTCAATTGACTAGTAAGTCTACCACACAGGTGGCAGTCACGCATTTGCTCTGGGCTGGGGAAATTAAATAATATATATATATATTCCATATCGCTGCCTGATTGCGATTCAAGTTTGATTAATTGCACAACCCTACTGCTCCTTTATCAGACGTAGAACTGACTAAGAAACTTTGCAAGTACATGTCAACCCACACTAACCCTAACACCAGCCTAACAGTCTTATGAGTCTAATGAGAATTAGTTAGCATGTAGATGCAATGTAACTTAGATTCAACAAAATGCGTTAAAGGGACCATCAAAATAAAGTGATACCATTATATGTAACATATTTTAGACTAAAATTTCACAGACGTCTTGTTGGAAGACTTGAGAGAAAAAAAAACACAATATTACTAATACAATTTAAATCCTAAAAAGCATTTTATCTTCAGATATTTGTAGAAGCACACATTTAATACATCTTTATTTTAATATCTAAAGGAAAACTGTAAATTGCAGAGAGTCAGAACTAAAGATAGCTTAAAAGAGGTGTAGCATTAGCTACTTAAGAGTTTTGGCAGGGCCATCGAACTCTCGCTGATGCTCGCGTCAGCAAACAGCAAAGACAAAAGTGTAAGAACAGAGTGGGTGGACCACCGTTAGCGAGCTATCGAGTTAAGAAGAGAGCTAGAGAGAGACGCTGCTATTGTGCTTTTTCTAGACGCTGCAAGCAAAAATACAACTATGAATGCATAATAACTCTATGTGAGAAAAACAAGGATAATCTTCCTTCAGGCATCAATACAAACACATTAGGAGAGCAGCAACTGTGCTTTGCTAGCTATAGGAGGAGGAAAGCTTCCCGCCGACTTAATTCTCTGCCATAAAAAAAGTCTCCTTAACAGTTTATAGATGCAAAACAGAATGGGCCACAGCTAAGTAGACTCTCACACCTCCATATTGTTGTTTTAATAAGATGGAGTTTTTTTAAAAGTTATGATAACTGACATGTTTAATATTTGCAGAAAACACTGAATAAAACTAATAATCGACCTGCCAGAGTTTGCCTCATATTCTTATAGACTCTAACAGGCTTGTGTGCAAATACACTAGAAGACGTTGTGAATAATAGAAGGGACCTTTATCTTTCTCTGACTCATCCGTCTGCTTTCTGCTGGTCTATAAACTGAGGTCTTTGGCCCCTGGGAAGCACTGAGGTCTGGCATATGCTACATGATGGGTGACTCACATGCACACACTTTTAGTGTCACAACAGGTTTGTAGCCCTCCCTCGTGACTCAATAGCATTCTGTATAGAATACTGGCACACAAACAATGACAAACACCTATCATTTTTTATTTAGTAATAAAAAATATTGGTATTAACATCTTTAAAAATAAAAATAAACAAAATAAGGCTACATGCATGCAAGTTAACAAAGAAATAGTTGAGTTCTGTCACTGACACCGATCTTAAAATAAAGGAATAACTACATATTTTAAATGCTACTTTTAATACATCTAGTTGAATTTGCAAGTGGGTCAGTTATTTTCAGGACCATGCAAACAAGATGATCGTGAAAAAAAAAAACTATATGAGAGTTTTTGGCTGCCGGCTTATCCTCTATCTCCGTTTTAAATAAAGTTGGCATACTAAATATAGCATGGATCTGTGGAAAAACAGGGATGAGCATATAATGTGCAGACCTCCCTTTGCCAAAAAACAATTAGCACTGGGATAGAGAAACACAGAGAAACTAGCAGCTTCATTTATGTAGACAACTACTGTTTAAATTGGCATTGAATCATTTGTATTGATTAATCTGAACGTTGATGTGCGTGTTTGTATATCACAAGCTTCTAATCAGATTTGAGCTTAGTAGTCATGTAAAGTCTGGCATCCAATTGTCTTATAATAATGATGATAAAAATTAACATTTAAATGTTATTTATAAACAGTATTTCTTTATTCAAAACAATGACCAGTGCATGAAGCTTTTTACAGATGATGAGTGGAAGATTCATTTCTTTAATGTGGGAATTGTCAACAATGCAATTTCTTATACAAAACGTCAAATTTTACACATCCCTATACAACAAAAACGTTTGAAATCAGGGGCACGATTTCGTAATAAACAGTGCCCAGCATATTTAAGTACAACCCTCACAAATCTATCTTTGAAATTCATGTTTATTAGGAAGCTATACAATATTATATTTGTGCATATACATTAGATTAGTCAGTACTGAAGCCAAATCAGGAGTTTATCTAACAAAATAACTTACGATAACGGTTTAAAAACAAGTACAC